CCCTTCCTCCCTCCCTCCCTCCCCTCTCTCTCTACTATCATTATTATATGTTTCTTATCATTACTATATTATTATTGTTATTATTATTATCATTATTATTGTTATTGTTATTATCATGATTATTGTTATTGTTATTATCATGATATTGTTATTGTTATATCATTATTATTGTTATTGTTATTATCATTATTATTATTTTTATTATTAATATCACAATTAATGTTAAAGCATTAGCATTACTATCAATGCTATTATTATCATCATCAATACTATCTTTATCAATAGTATCATTATTGATATTGTTATTATTATTATTATCATTATTATTATTATCATCATTATCGTTATCAATCATCAATCATATCATTATTTGTTATCATCATAATCATTATCATCATCATTATTGTTATCATCATTATTGTTATCAGCATTATTGTTATCATCATCATCATTGTTATCATCATTATTGTTATCATCATCATATTGTTATCATCATTATTTTTCATCATCATTATTGTTATTATCATCATTATTGTTATCATCATTATTTTCATCATTTATATTTATCATCATTATTGTTATTATCATCATGTTTTCAATCATTATTATCATCATTATTTTATCATCATCATTATTATTATCATCATCATTATTGTTATCATCATCATTGTTCATCATCATTATTGTCATCATCAATTCATTGTTATCATTATTGTTATCATCATTATTGTCATCATCATCATTATGTTATTATCATCATTGTATCATTATTGTTACCATCATCATTATTGTTACCATAATTATTGTTATCATCATTATTGTTATCATCATTATTATCATTATTATTGTTATCATCATTATTGTTACCATAATTATTGTGATCATCATCATTTATTGTTATTATCATCATTATTGTTATTATCATCATTATTTTATCATCATCATTATTGTTATCATCATCATTATTGTTATTATCATCATCATTATTGTTATTATCATCATCTTATTGTTATCATCATCATATTCATCATCATTGTTATCATTAGTGGTATCATCATCATCATCTCTTATTATCATCATTATTGTATCATATCATTGTTATCATTATCATCATCATTGTTATCATCATCACTGCATCGCTGTCATTACCATCGATAACCCTCAACTGCCGCCGCAGCTGCAGCAGTTCGCGCACCCTCACCACCACCGGCCCGTGCTGCTCCTGGCCGTCGTGTTCACCCTCAGGGAGCTCGGCGGCCAGTACGTGGTGTTCTCGTACACGGTGTACCTGTTCCGTGAGGCGGGCGTGCACCTCGACGCCTTCCTCTGCACGATCTTGGTGGGCGTGATGCGCGTCGTGTTCACGTCCCTGGGCTGCGTCGTCGTGGACCGCGTGGGGCGGCGGCCGCTCGTCATCGCGACGGTCCTGGTGTGCGGCGCGGCGCAGGCCCTCGGCGCCCTGTTCCTCCTGCTGGACGTCCCCGGGGCCTCGTGGGTGCCCCTGGCCGCCGTCCTGCTCTTCGTGTCGTCCTACGGCTTCGGCCTCGGCCCCATCCCGTGGGCGCTGCTGGGGGAGCTCCTGCCGACGCCCGTCCGCTTCATCGGGAGCTCCGTCTGCACCTTCAGCTTCTGCCTGACGCAGTTCGTGGTCAGCTACCTGTTCCCGCTGCTGATGGCGCACGCGGGCGTCGGGGTGGCCTTCCTGGTCTTCGCTGCGGCCCACGGCGCCCTTGGCCTCGTCCTCTGGGCCTTCCTGCCCGAGACGCGAGGCCGGACCCTCAGCGACCTCCAGGACTGCTTCTCCCCCGCCAGGAAGGCCACGGAGCAGGTGCAGCTGCAGAACTACAAGAAGGCAGTCGACAGTTGATGATTTCTCGTAATAATTTCCATACATGGGTTTGTGAGAAATTGCCGTAAGATGTTTATTTAACAGATTAGTTTTTTTTTTTTTTTAACAAGCCTTCGTGGTTTATGCATTTGCGACTTCCTCCCCGAAAACTGTTGAATGCTAACAGCTGATGCGATACAATGGATATCTTGTAGAAATACAGTTTCAACGACTGATTTACCTCAAGAAAAATCAGGCTGTAACCAAGCGATCATAAAACAAACAAGAAAATCAAGATAGTTTTCTTTTCCCTTGCCTAGAGTGTTTCTTAAAATTTCTTAAATCCTCTTGCTGCTGTTCAAGTCTTATCAAATTTCGAAAAACTCGCCAATCCTCTTGCTGCTGTTCAAGTCTTATCAAATTCCGATGATTGTGTGTGTGTGTGTCTTTATGCGTGTGCGTGTGTATCTGTATATGTGTGTGTACAAGGGTGTGGGTGTGTCTGTATGCGTGTATATGCGTGTGCGTGTGTATCTGTATATGTGTGTGTAGGGTGTGTGTACGTGTGTGTGTGTATGCGTATATATGCGTGTGCGTGTGTGTATCTGTATGTGTGTACAAGGGTGTGTGTGTGTGTGTGTGTGTGTGTGTGTGTGTGTGTATGCGTATATATGCGTGTGCGTGTGTATCTGTATATGTGTGTGAGCAAGGGTGTGTGTGTGTGTGTGCGAATGTCTGTGTCTACACGTGTGTATGTATGTGTGTGGTTGTGCATGTGTGAATGATAATTAAAAACATATAGCTTAAAAGGGTTTAAACATGGGTCTTGGATGAAATAAATAAAAATGTATATGGGAATATGGCAGAACGGGAACACAATAGTAATTTAATATTTCAAATTTCTTTATTTACACAAAAAAACATGAATAAATAATAATCGAATCGCATAACCTTAAACACTGATAGATATAGTTACGTGATAATGTTGACAAGGCTTATAGACTATAGATAGATAAATTGATACAAATCATGAATTAGTATGTTGATGTTTTTGATTGAGTTCAGAAAACCCTATAACGTATTATAAAACCATTTCTAATTTTTGCTCGTATCTGAATTACTATAATTTTTTATCGGATGTATTGTAAAATTTTAGTAAATTGTCAATACATTTTTTCCTGTTAGTGTGCCATAAGGTAAACATGCCATATTTTTTTAATTTTATTTCATTATCATCTTTTTTCATTTTGCACACATTCATTGATGGTGAAATGACTTCAACACTTCTTTTCTTGTTTCCAGAATTACCTTTGCATATTATTAAATACAACGAGAATGCTAAATCCCTTCAGAATTACAGTGACGGATATCAACACGCCAATAAGTGTTAAAAATCATCGAGATTTGTCTCTAATACACGATATGAAAAAATATCGTAAACTGGAACACATATTGATGCACTTGCCTTCCTACAAAAATAATATATATATATATATATATATATATATATATATAATATATATATATATATATATATATATATATATATATATATATATATATATATATATATATTATATATATATATATATATATATATATATATACACACACACACACACACACACAATATATATATATATATATATATATAATATATATATATATATATATATTATATATATATATATATATATATATATATATACTGGTAATCATAACGTCGAGTAAATTATACATTCGTTATTTATTTCGCTGTATCTGGTTTTGCGCGTCATTTAGCTCCGCCCCCTCTTCATTCCTGTCATTCTGTGAGATACATCACTATATGAGTTATCTCAGCATATTTACCTTGAAAACGATTCAATAATAACAACAGGAAAGGAATCGGAAATAACAGGAATCGGAAAAGACGAAAAATAAAGAGAAACTGAATAGTTTCAATAAACGGTGACAAGGAGGGGTGGGGCTTGGCTCAGCAGTTGCAGACTAGGATTTTCATCAAGACAACAGGTGCTGTTTGTCTTATAATAATTAATTGTTTTTTTCTAATCGCTGAGCAGGTGATCCGGTTTATAAATCCTGATTATAGGCACCGGTGAAATATTGATTATCGAATAGTAATATTGTAAAAGTGTTCGAAACGTTTATTTACCACAAATTGTTACGTCTTTTGAATGTGTTTATCGACGTGATCTATTCATACAGGAATATAGAAGTCTCTCTCACACAGGGATATTAACAAAAAATATTTATAAAGAAATATTTACAAAACGAACATCATGCACGATGTTTCAACCAAGAACTTTCTTTCATTCTATCTCTTCTTTCTTTCTTTCTAGAGTCTCTTTGTCCGGAGTGTCGCTCGTGCTGTCGTCCTCGGAGCCAGACCGCTGACTTCGAGGAACAAACGCGTTCTGGAGATCACTGAGAGATCGTCCTCGAGTTTCAGGCAGGAAGAACGCGAGCAGGAGGGAGAGAGCGGCGTGCATGACGGCGAAAATGACGAGGACGACCCCCACGCTCGTCCACTGCACCAGGGTAGGGAAGAAGTAGCTGACGAGGAACTGGACGAGGCAGAAGTGGAAGGTGCAGATCGTGGAGCCCAGGGACCGCACCGGCGTGGGCAGGACCTCCCCCAGCAGGACCCAGGGCATGATGCCGATGCCGAGGCTGTAGGAGGCGGTGTAGACCAGGACCGAGGTGAGGGGGACCCAGGACGTGCCCGGGAGCTCGAGCAGCAGGAACGCCCCGCCGACGGCGTAGGCGACGACGCACACCAGACACGACGATATGAAGAGCGGCCGCCGTCCGAAGCGGTCGGCGATGGCGGAGGCGATGATGGTGAACACGAACCTCACCAGCCCCACCAGGATTGTGCACACGAAGGCATCCAGCGCCACGCCGGCCTTCCTGAAGAGGTACGTGGTGTAGGCGAAGATCACGTACTGGCCCCCGAGCTCCCGCACGACAAACACCGCGGTCAGGAACACGACGGGGCGGAGGTGCTCTGGGGCGGCCAGCTGCTTGATCTGCAGGGGTGGGGTGAGGGGGGGGGTAAAAGAAACGAAAATATAATCCAAGTTTTCTTCCTTCTGTCGCCTGAACTTATGATAACTTCAAGAGAGATAAATATTACAAGTTAATCTCAAATGTTCAATATCTATATATAAAAGAGAAAATGATAAAGATAGATAAAGAAATAATACACTGCTCCCGTCCTACTCCTCCTACTCCTCCCTCTGTTAACCAAACTTCAAAAAAAAGAATTTAGATGCCATTCATTTCTCCTTATCATCAACTCAACCCAAAAAGCCGAAAATATCATGCGTTAAATTTCCTTTCCCAACAATCCATCGCATCAACTTCATTTTTCATTAACACCAACGCATCTTCATCTTCTCTTCATCTTTATCTCTTCTTTCTTTCGTCATCTTTATTCCTTTCTTTCTGTCTCATCTTTATTCCTTTCTTTCTTTTTTTCCCTTCGATCCCAAAAGCAAAATCACTTATTTGATCCTTCATCTTCTTTTCGTCATCTTTATTCCTTTCTTTCTGTCTCATCTTTATTCCTTTTTTTTCCCTTCGATCCCAAAAGCAAAATCACTTACTGGATCCTTCTTCTTTTCGTCATCTTTATTCCTTCTTTCTGTCTCATTTTATTCCTTTCTTTCTTTTTTCCCTTCGATCCCAAAAGCAAAATCACTTACCTGATCCTTCATCTTCTTTTCGTCATCTTTATTCCTTCTTTCTTTCTCATCTTTATTCCTTTCTTTTTTTTCCCCTCGATCCCAAAAGCAAAATCACTCACTTGATCCATCATCTTCTTCTCGTCATCTTTATTCCTCCTTTCTGTCTCATCTTTATTCCTTTCTTTCTTTCTTTTTCCCTCGATCCCAAAAGCAAAATCACTCACCTGATCCTTCATCTTCTTTTCGTCATCTTTATTCCTCCTTTCTGTCTCATCTTTATTCCTTTCTTTCTTTCTTTTTTTCCCTTCGATCCCAAAAGCAAAATCACTTACTTGATCCATCATCTTTTCGTCATCTTTATTCCTCCTTTCTTTCTCATCTTTATTCCTTTCTTTCTTTTTCCCTCGATCCCAAAAGCAAATAACTTACTTGATCCTTCATCTTCTTTTCGTCATCTTTATTCCTTTCTTTCTTTCTCATCTTTATTCCTTTCTTTCTGTTTTTCCCTCGATCCCAAAAGCAAATCTTTCTTTCTCATCTTTATTCCTTTCTCATCTTTCTTTTTTTCCTTCGATCCCAAAAGCAAAATCACTCACCTGATCCTTCATCTTCTTTTCGTCATCTTTATTCCTTCTTTCTGTCTCATCTTTATTCCTTTCTTTCTTTCCTTTTTCCCTTCGATCCCAAAAGCAAAATGACTCACTTGATCCTTCATCTTCTTTTCGTCATCTTTATTCCTTCTTCTTTCTCATCTTTATTCCTTTCTTTCTTTTTTCCCTCGATCCCAAAAGCAAATCTTTCTTTCTCATCTTTATTCCTTTCTTTCTTTCTTTCCCTCGATCCCAAAAGCAAAATCACTCACCTGATCCATCATCTTCTCGTCATCTTTATTCTCTTTCTTTCGTCATCTTTATTCCTTTCTTTCTTTCCTTTTCCCTTCGATCCCAAAAGCAAATCTTTCTTTTCTCATCTTTATTCCTTTCTTTCTTTCTTTCTTTCCTTACCCTCGATCCCAAAAGCAAAATGACTCACCTGATCCATCATCTTCTTTTCGTCATCTTTATTCCTCCTTTCTTTCTCATCTTTATTCCTTTTTTTCCCTTCGATCCCAAAAGCAAAATCACTCACTTGGTCCATCATCTTCTTTTTCGTCATTTTTATTCCTCCTTTCTGTCTCATCTTTATTCCTTCTTTCTTTCTGTTTTCCCTTCGATCCCAAAAGCAAATCACTCACTTGATCCATCATCTTTTGTCATCTTATTCCTCCTTTCTTTCGTCATCTTATTCCTCCATCTTTCCTTTTTCCTTTCTTTCTTTCTTTCCCCCCTCGATCCCAAAAGCAAAAAACTCACCTGATCCATCATCTTCTTCTCGTCATATTTATTTCTCCTTTCTTTCTCATCTTTATTCCTTCTTTTCCCCTCGATCCCAAAAGCAAAATCCTCACCTGATCCATCATCTTCTTCTCGTCATCTTTATTCCTCCTTTCTTTCTCATCTTTATTCCTTTCTTTCCCTCGATCCCAAAAGCAAATCACTCACCTGATCCATCATCTTCTTCTCGTCATATTTATTCCTCCTTCTTTCTCATCTTTATTCCTTCTTTCCCCTCGATCCCAAAAGCAAAATCACTCACCTGATCCATCATCTTCTTCTCGTCATCTTTATTCCTCCTTTCTTTCTCATCTTTATTCCTTTTTTTCCCCTCGATCCCAAAAGCAAAATCACTCACCTGATCCATCATCTTCTTCTCGTCATCTTTATTCCTCCTTTCTTTCTCATCTTTATTCCTTTCTTTTCCCTCGATCCCAAAAGCAAAATCACTCACCTGATCCATCATCTTCTTCTCGTCATCTTTATTCCTCCTTTCTGTCTCATCTTCCTTTCTTTCCTTCCCCTCGATCCCAAAAGCAAAATGACTCACCTGATCCTTCATCTTCTTTATTCCTTCTTTCTTTCTCATCTTTATTCCTTTCTTTCTTTTTTCTCCTTCGATCCCAAAAGCAAAATGACTCACCTGATCCTTCATCTTCTTTATTCCTCCTATCTTTCTCATCTTTATTCTTTCTTTCTTTTTCTCCTTCGATCCCAAAAGCAAAATCACTCACCTGGTCCATCATCTTCTTTTCGTCATCTTTATTCCTCCTTTCTTTCGTCATCTTTATTCCTCCTTTCTTTCTTTCTCTTTTCCCCCTCGATCCCAAAAGCAAAATGACTCACCTGGTCCATCATCTTCTTTTCGTCATCTTTATTCCTCCTTTCTGTCTCATCTTTCTTTCTTTCTTTCTTTTTTCCCCTTCGATCCCAAAAGCAAAATGACTCACTGATCCATCATCTTCTTTCTCATCTTTATTCCTCCTTCTTTCGTCATCTTTATTCCTCCTTTCTTTCGTCATCTTTATTCCTCCTTTCTTTCGTCATCTTTATTCTCCTTTCTTTCGTCATCTTTATTCCTCCTATCTTTCGTCATCTTTATTCCTTTCTTTCTTTCTTTCTTTCCCCTTCGATCCCAAAAGCAAAATGACTCACCTGGTCCATCAGCGACGTCTGCGTGTGCTGCTCCAACCCTTTGCTGATTTCCTCGATCTCGTCGCTGACGTCCCTGTCTCTTCCTCGAAGTTTTCTCAAGGAATCTGTTGCCTCCTCGATCAGCCCCTGACGCACGAGCCAGTATGGTGACTGCGGATGGTGAATGGTGAAGAGAAAATAAAGTGAAACTGATGGGGAACGCACGAGCCAGTATGGTGAATGGTGAATGGAGAGAGAAAATAAAGTGGAGCTGATGGGGAACGCACGAGCCAGTATGGTGAATGGTGAAGAGAAAATAAAGTGGAACTGGACATGGTGAACGCACGAGCCAGTATGGTGACTGCGGATGGTGAATGGTGAAGAGAAAATTAAGTGAAGCTGGACATGGTGAACGCACGAGCCAGTATGGTGACTGCGGATGGTGAATGGTGAAGAGAAAATAAAGTGAAGCTGGACATGGTGAACGCACGAGCCAGTATGGTGACTGCGGATGGTGAATGGTGAAGAGAAAATAAAGTGGAACTGATGGGGAACGCACGAGCCAGTATGGTGACTGCGGATGGTGAATGGTGAAGAGAAAATAAAGTGGAACTGATGGGGAACGCACGAGCCAGTATGGTGACTGCGGATGGTGAATGGTGAAGAGAAAATAAAGTGGACTGATGGAACGCACGAGCCAGTAGAATGGTGAAGAGAAAATGGAACTGGACATGGTGAACGCACGAGCCAGTATGGTGACTGCGGATGGTGAATGGTGAAGAGAAAATAAAGTGAAGCTGGACATGGTGAACGCACGAGCCAGTATGGTGACTGCGGATGGTGAATGGTGAAGAGAAAAATAAAGTGAACTGGACATGGTGAACGCACCGCCAGTATGGTGACTGCGGATGGTGAATGGTGAAGGAAAAATAAAGTGGAACTGGACATGGTGAACGCACGAGCCAGTATGGTGACTGCGGATGGTGAATGGTGAAGAGAAAATAAAGTGGAACATGGGAACGCACGAGCCAGTATGGTGACTGCGGATGGTGAATGGTGAAGGAAAAATAAAGTGGAACTGATGGGAACGCACGAGCAGTATGGGACTGCGGATGTGAATGGTGAAAGGAAAATAAAGTGGAACTGATGGTGAACGCACAGCCAGTATGGTGACTGCGGATGGTGAAATGGTGAAAGAGAAAATAAAGTGAAGCTGACATGGTGAACGCACGAGCCAGTATGGTGACTGCGGATGGTGAATGGTGAAGAGAAAATAAAGTGAAGCTGGACATGGTGAACGCACGAGCCAGTATGGTGACTGCGGATGGTGAATGGTGAAGGAAAAATAAAGTGGAACTGATGGGGAACGCACGAGCCAGTATGGTGACTGCGGATGGTGAATGGTGAAGAGAAAATAAAGTGGAACTGGACATGGTGAACGCACGACCAGTATTGACTGCGGATGGGGATGGTGAAGAGAAAATAAAGCGAAGACATGGTACGCAAGTACATGTAGCCCCACTTCCATTTAGCTTGTGTGAATCCAATAATGAAAATGACATTAGACGAGTATTGTAACAGTTATTTATGGTATGAATGACTTTGTTATCATCATCAAATGAGTGGAATTTTGTTTTACTTCTGGTAATGATAACAATACTCTGTAAACTATACTAATGATAATTTAGCTTGTGTAGACCCAATTATTTAAATGACATTAGACGAGTATTGTAACAGTGTTTATGGTATGAATGACTTTGTTATCATCATCAAATGAGTGGAATTTTGTTTTACTTCTGGTAATGATAACAATACTCTGTACACTATACTGATGATTACAGATCTAGCAATATCTGATACATTATGGTGCGACCTCATTGGCTAAACGTGATGATGTCATTAGCACCGCCCTTTTTTAGGCTTGGTCTGTCTGTGAGATATTTTTACGAATGATTCTTTCTTCTCTCCCTCTCCACCTCGTTCTTTCACTGCCTCTCTCCATCCCTCTTTCCTTCCCTCCTTCCTCCCCCTTTCCCTCCTTCCTCCCCTCTCACCCCTTTCCCTTCTATTTTACGGTAAATGATTCTTCCTTCCCTCCCTCTCCCACCCTTATTCTTTCACTGCTCTCTCCATCCTCTTTTCCTTCCCTCCCTCCCTTTCCCTCCTTCCCTCCCTCCCTTTCCCTCTTCCCCCTCTTTCCCTTCCTCTCCCTCCCCCCTTCCCTTTCCCTTCCTCCTCAGTAACAACATAATCGAAATAATAATTATAAAAGTATATCAAGAAAAAAAAAAAAAACAGACTTTGCAGTGAAAGAAGGCAAAGAGGCGGGGCTTACGTCGCCAATTGCCAACTAGGATTTCACAGGATGAAGTGGCGCAACCTGAATCAAAGTATCGTGAGTGAACAGTATTGAATATGATTCTTGTGACACTCGGCATCTATACGAGAGAATCTGTGTTTAGAAATAAGAAATAAGACACAAATCAAAACAATAAAATACTTCATAATTACAAAATCACCACGAGAAGAACCCACAAGATCCAGTCACAAAAAGATAATTACAAGAGCCAGGACAGAATGATGAATAAATAAAAAAAAAATGTAACAAAAGACACTCCGAAAATCTTTCGAAGACGCCCTCTCCTATGCTTCCCTCCCAAGCCCTCCCCTACCCCATCCCTCCCCTCCCCTCCCTCTCCCACCTCTACCCCCTCCCCTCCCTTCCCCACTCTACCCCATCCCCTCCCTCTCCCTGTCCAGCCCCTTCCCCACCCCTCCCCTCCCTCCCCCTCGTACCCTCTCCTCCCTCTCCACCCTCCCCCCCCTTCTCCCACCTCACCCCTCCCTCTCCCACTCTCCCTCCCTTCTCCCACCTCTACCCCTCCCCCTCCCTCTCCCCACCTCTACCCCCCCCCCTCCTCAACCTCTCACCCCATGCCCCTCCCTCTCCCTTCCCACCTCTACCCCATGCGCCTCCCCTCCCCCTACCCCAGCCCGTCCCTACCCTCTCCCTCCACTCCTCTCCCCCTCCCCCCTCCCCTTACCTCGGGCACGAAGAGGGTGCCAGGAAGAGCAGGAAGAAGGGCCGCCGCAGAGCCAGGTGGTCATGTCCCACAGGCAGCAGGTAGGCCATCACGTACACGGCCAGCTGCTGCCCCCGACGAGATCACGGCCTGCACGAAACACCATACCTCGGGATCCCGGGCTCGCTCAGCTCCGTGGTGATGCGCGGCAGCAGGGGCTTGAAGATGGTGAAGAGGAATGGAGCCGATGCGGCCGAGGTACAGGACCGAGAGGAAGGGCGCGAAGGCCTGCAGGAGCCAGAAGAGGCCGCGGGGGGAGGAGGAGCAGGATCAGCAGGAGCGCCGAGGGCCCGTGATCTCCACCAGGGGCGCCACGCTCAGGGTCATTATGAGGCCGGAGATGCCCGTCGCTGAGACTGGGGGGAGGGAAGGAAGGGGTGAGGGAGGGAAGGAGGAGGAAGAGGGAGGAGGGGGGGGAAGAAGGGAAGAGGGAGAGAAAGGAAGGGGGGAGGAGGACAAAGGAGGAGGTGAGAGGAAGGGAAGGGGGGAGGGGAGGGAGGGAAGGAAGGGGGAGGGAGGGAGGGAAGGAGGGTGAGGAGGAGGAAGGAAGGTGAGGGAGGAGGGAAGGAAGGGAGGGAAGGGAGGGGAGGTGAGGAGGGGAGGGAGGGAGGGAAGGAAGGGTGAGGGAGGGAGGGAGGGAAGGAAGGGGTGAGGGAGGGAGGGAGGGAAAGGGAGGACAAAGGAGAAGGGAGAGGAAGGGAAAGGGGGGAGGAAGGAGAGGGGTGAGGGAGGGAAGGAGAGAAATGGAGGAGGGGAAGGAGATAAATGGGAGGGAGGAGGGAAAGGGAGGACAAAGGAGAGGGGAGCAGGAAGGGAAAGGGGGGAGGGAAGGAGGAGAGGAAGGGAAGGGGGAGAAGGGAGGAGGAAGAGGAAAGAGGACAAAGGAGAGAGGGAAGGAAGGAGGAGGGAGGGGGAGGTAAGGGAGGACAGAAGGGAAAGGAAGGGAGAGGGGGAGGAGGGAGGAGGGAGGACAGAAGGAGGGGTGAGAAGGGGGAAAGGGAGGGGAAGGAGGAAAAGGAGGAGAGACGAAAGAGAGGAGGTGAGGGAGGGAACGGGAAAGGAGGAAACGAGAAAGGAAGAGAGGGAGAGGACAGGAAGGGGGGAGGATGGGAGGACAAGGAAGGGAAGGGGGGGAGAGGGGAAAGGAGGAGAGGGAGGGAAGGGTAAGGTAGGCGAGGGACAAAAAAGAGAGAGGGAGAGGAAGGATGGGTGAGGGAGGCGAGGAGGGAAGGTAGGGAAAGGAGACAAAAGGAAGATGGAAGATGTAAGGATGGGTGGGCCAGGTGAGGGAGGAAAGGGGAAAGGTGAGGACAAAGGAGAGAGGGAGAGGAAGGGATAAGGGGGAGGAAGGAGGGAGGGAGGAGGGAGGGAAAAGGGACAAAGGGAGGGGAGAGGAAGGGAAGAGGGAGAGGAAGAGGAAGGAAGGGGGGGGGAGGGAGGGGAGGGAGGGACAAGGGAAGGAGTGAGAGGGGAGGGAAGGAAAGAGGGAAAGGGAGGACAATAAGAAGAGGGGGAGAGGGAGGGGAGGGAGGGAAGGAAAGGGGAAAGGAAGAGGAGGGAAGAAAGGAGGGAGAGAGGGAGAGGAAGGGGGGGGGGAGGGGAGGAAGGGACAGGAAGGGAAAGGGGGGAGAGGGGGAGGAAGGAAGGAGGGAAAAAGGGAGGGGAGGGAGGGAAAAAGAGGGATGGAGAGAGGCAGGAAAAATGAGGGGGGAGAGGGAAGGAAGGAAGGAGGGTGAGTAGGGGTGGGGAAGGAAGGAAGAGGGAGGAGGTGGTCGGTGGGGGAGGGAGGGAAGAAAGAAGAGGGAAGGAGGGAGGAATAGAGGGAAAATGAGGGAAGGAAGGGAGGAAGAAGAGGGGGGAAGGGAGAGGAGGAGTAGAGAGAGAAAAAGAGGGAGAAATGCAAGGGAAAAGAGGAAGGGAAGTGAGAAGGGGTGGAAGAGAAGGAAGGAAGGAAGGAAAAGTTGAAGGATGACATAAGAGTGAGAAAGTGGAAAGAGAGAGAAAAAAAAGGAGAGTGAGGGAGATAAGAATAAGGAACGAGAGATGGAGGACGGGAAGGAGGGAAACACGAAGGACAGCGGGAGTAAAGAGAAGGTGAAAGAAGTAAATATTATTTTATTGAATAAGATTTGTACGCACAATATTTCCATTTTTTATTTTAAAAATCTCAAAGAAGCTACTTTCATACACTAAGATATTTCAGAGAGAAAGATAGAGAGCGAGAGAGAGAGAGAGAGAGAGAGAGAGAGAGAGAGAGAGAGAGAGAGAGAGAAGAGAGAGAGAGAGAGAGAGAGAGAGAGAAGAGAGAGAAGAGAGAGAAAAACAGAGAAAAAGACAGACGGACAGACAGACAGACAGACAAAACAGACAGACAAACAAACAAAAACAAACAGCTCGAATGATAATAATAAAAAAAAAAATCCTTACCAAGCCAAGTCACATCATGGTCTGTCATCTCAAAGCTTGTGCTGTTGTCTGCCTGTAGTTTGGGCAGAACAGCTGACCAGCCAACGACAAGCCCGGTCTGGATTTTGGCTCCAGCGATTATCAGACCGAAAATCACCTGTTTGCGGTGGTAATTGTGGTTGTTAATGGTCGTTGTAGTTAGACGGTGGGTAGTGGAGTGGGGGTGGGGTGGGGGGGATGGTGGGGTGGGGGTAGGGTGCGGGTGGGGTGCGGATGGGGGTGGGAAGGGGTGGTAGTAGTGGTGGTGACGATGAAATAACAATGATAATGACGATGACAACATACGTATCAAAACAATTTAAAACGTAATATCAACACCAAGAACGTGATCATTAGTCTTATATAATATATATATATATATATATATATATATATATATATATATATATTATATATAGACAGAACAACAACCGTGAATGTGAATAGTTTAACCTGCTTCATAAGACTTGCTCTGCCGCACTTCGAATCATCATCGGCAAGTTTTGTCATGGCGAATCTGAAAAAAAAAATATAAGAGGATTATCGGTAAAATTTCCTTGGTGTCAGTATTTGTGAAAATGAAAAAAAAAAACGAAAGAAGCGTACCATTGTAACCAGTATACACGCAGACACAGACATACACACATAGACACACATTTCTCTCTTTCTCTTCTGTATATATATGTATATATATATATATATATATGATATATATATATATACGTATATATACATGTATATATATATATATATATAATATATATATTATATATATATATATATATATAATATATATATGTGTGTGTGTATATATATGTATGTATGTATATATTTATACATACATACACATTCATACATGTATACACATACGTATATATAACTATATATATATATATATATATATATATAATATATATATATGTGTGTGTGTGTGTGTGTGTGTGTGTGTGTGTGTGTGTGTGTGTGTGTGTGTTGTGTGTGTGTGTGTGTGTGTATAATAAAAATGATGACAAATGTTGTGATGATAAAACATTAGAGCCGGACAAGACACAGAATAAAACAGTTAAGAAATTATGATAAGTATAAAAAAATATGGGAAACATTTACACAAGAATGGCAAGCAAACACAAACATTTGAAGTCAGACGGACATGATATAAAAACAAAGGCGGACAAAAGGGCATATAGGCTATCTAAACAGAGCTGACCACAACGAGAAACTTTCTCTGGCTCGTCAAAATTCAAAAATGTTTAATGTCAACTGAGACACTAATCGCCTAAAAAAACAAAAGACAAAATAAGTAGAGTCACACGACCTTTAAAAAAAAAAAAAAATTAAAAAACTATCCTT